TTGGAACTTATGCACACACACACAAAAAGAATATTGTGGTCCTCTGTTATACCCTATCCCTCTTATAGATACGTCTATGTCAGAAACCCAATTGCTGGATAAACAAGGAGAGTTAGAGCAAGTGCAATCAGTGAATGATCCCGAGGACTAGTGGCATTGACTTTATGGGCTGTGGAGCCCATCACCACCAAAGATGTTAAGGCCACTAGGCTCAAGTCCTTTGGGCAGGGCTGCTGAAGACAGATATGCAACCTGATTCCTGTTCTGTCTCCTCCTCTCGTAGAAGGATGTCCCCTGCCATCAGTTATCCTTCAAAGTAGGGATGGATTACCCAATAAGCAAGGTACACACCGGCTTGCTTGTGCTTACTTACTAATCTGTAGTGCACAATTTCACATGGGTTTCACCACAATTGTGCACTGTAGATCAGTAAGTAAGCACAAGTAAGCAACTTGCTTAATGTAAGCCCATGTGTACTTACTGGTTAATGTAAGTACAATTGCTTACTGGTTAATCGGCCCCTGCTTCAAAGTATGATACGAGAACAAGGATTAAGTTTTCTTAATTATGACCCCCTTCCCAAGCACCTGTCCGTTTGTCGTACTGCAGGGGCTAGCAATTTGCTGTAATGGTGGAAGCTATGCTACCAATATTCAAATACCAGCAGGGTCACCCATGGCAGACAGGTTTTAGCTGAACTTCCAGACTAAGACAGACTAGGAAGAAGAACCTAGCGGTCTATTTCTCAAGAAAATTAGCCAGTGAAAACCTTATGAATAGCAGTGGAACACTGTCTGATATAGCGCTGGGAGATGAGCCCCTCAGGTTGGAAGACACTCAAAAGATGACTGGGAAAGAGCTGCCTCCTCAAAGTAGAGCCAATCTTAATGACATGGATGGAGTCGAGCTTTCAGGACCTTCATTTACTGATGTGGTATGACTCAAAATGAGAAGAAACAGCTGCAAACATCCATTAATAATTGGAAAGTGGAATGTACCAAGCATGAATCTAGGAAAATTGGAAATCATCAAAAATGAAATGGAATGCATAAACAATGATATCCTAGGCATTAGTGAGCTGAAATGGACTAATATTGGCCATTTTGAATCAGACAAACATGTGGTCTACTATACCAGGAATGACAAATTAAAGAAGAATGGTGTTGCATTTATCATCAAAAAGAATATTTCAAGATCTATCCTGAAGTACAACGCTGTCAGTGATAGGATAATATCCACACCCCTACAAGGAAGGCCAGTTAATACAATTATTATTCAAAATTATGCACCAACCACTAAGGTCAAAGATGAAGGTTTTTACCAACTTCTGCAGTCTGAAATTGATCAAACATGCAATCAGGATGCATTGATAATTACTGGTGATTGGAATGTGAAAGTTGGAAATGAAGAAGGATCAGTAGTTGGAAAATATGGCCATGGTGATAGAAATGATTGCCGGAGACTGCATGATAGAATTTTGCAAGACCAAACAACTTATTCATTGCAAATACCTTTTTTCAACAACATAAATGGTGACTATACACTTGGACCTTGCCAGATGGAATATACAGGAATCAAATCGACTACATCTGTGGAAAGAGACGATGGAAAAGCTCAATATCATCAGTCAGAACAAGGCCAGGGACCGACTGTGGAACAAACCATCAATTGCTTACATGCAAGTTCAAGTTGAAGCTGAAGATAATTAGAACAAGTCCATGATAGCCAAAGCACGACCTTGAGTATATCCCACCTGAAATTAGAGACATCTCAAGAATAGATCTGACGCATTGAACACTAATGACTGAAGACCAGACAAGTCGTAGAATGACATATAAGACCTCATACATGAAGAAACCAAGAGGTCATTAAAACGACAGGAAAGAAAGAAAAGACCAAAATGGATGTCAGAAGAGACTCTGAAACTTGCTTTGAACGCAGAGTAGCTAAAGTGAATGGAAGAAATGATGAAGTAAAAGAGCTGAACAGAAGATTTCAAAGGGCAGCTTGAGAAGACAAAGTAAAGTATTATAATGACACATACAAAGACGTGGAGTTAGAAAACCAAGAGGGGAGAACACACTCAGCATTTCTCAAGCTGAAAGAACTGAAGAAAAAATTCAAGCCTCAAGTTGCAATAGTGAAGGATTTTATGGGCAAAATATTGAATGATGCAGGAAGCCTCAAAAGAAGATGGAGTAAAAACACAGAGTCACTGTACCAAAAAAGAATTGGTCGCCTTTCAATCACGTAAAGAGGTAGCATACGATCAAGTACCGAAGGAAGAAGTCCAAGCTGTACTGAAGGCACTGGCGAAAAACAAGTTTCTAGGAATTGACGGAATACCAATTGAGATGTATCAACAAACAGATGCAGTGCTAGAAGTGCTGACTCTTCTATGTCAAGAAATTTGGAAGACAGCTACCTGGCCAATTGACTGGAAGAGATCCATATTTATGCCTATTCCAAAGAAAGGTGACCCCACCGGATGTGCAAATTATCGAACAACATCATACGCAAGTAAAATTTTGCCGAAGATCATTCAAAGCAGTTGCAGCAGTACATCTACAGGGAACTGCCAGAAATTCAAGCCGGATTCAGAAGAGGACATGGAACGAGGGATATTATTGCTGATGTCAGATGGGTCCTGGCTGAAAGCAGAGAATACTAGAAAGATGTTTACCTGTGTTTTATTGACTATGCCAAGGCATTCAACTGTGTGGATCATAACAAATTATGGACAACATTGCCAAGAATGGGAATTCCAGAACACTTAATTGTGCTCATGAGGAACCTGTACATAGGTCAAGAGGGAGTCGTTGGAACAGAACAAGAAGATACTGCATGGTTTAAAGTCAGGAAAAGTATGCGTCAGGGTTGTACCCTTTCACTATACTTATTCAATCTGTATGCTGAGCAAATAATCCAAGAAGCTGGACTGTATGAAGATGAATGGGGCATCAGGGTTGGAGGAAGACTCATTAACAACCTACGTTATGCAGATGACACAACCTTGCTTGCTGAAAGTGAAGAGGACTTGAAGTACTTACTGATGAAGATTAAAGACTACAGCCTTCAGTATGGATTACACCTCAATATAAAGAAAACAAAAATTCTCACGACTGGACCAATAAACAACACCATGATAAACAGAGAAAAGATTGACGCTGTCAAGGATTTCATTTTACTTGGAGCCACAATCAACATCCATGGAAGCAGCAGTCAAGAAATCAAACAACGCATTGCATTGGGCAAATCTGCTACAAAAGACCTCTTCCAAGTGTTAAAAAGCAAAGATGTCACTTTAAGGACTAAGGTGCACCTGGCCCAAGCCATGGTGTTGTTGTCAATTGCCTCACATGCACATGAAAGCTGGACAATGGATTAGGAAGACTGAAGAAGACTTGACATCTTTCAGTTATGGTGTTGGCAAAGAACGTTGAATATACCATAGACTGCCAAAAGAATGAACAAATCTCTCTTGGAAGAAGTACCGCTAGAATGCTCCTTAGAAGGAAGGATGACGAGACTTCATCTCACATACTTTGACATGAGGGACCAGTTCCTGGAGAAGGACATCATGCTTGGTGAAGTAGAGGGTCAGCAAAAAAGAGAAAGACCCTCAATGAGATGGATTGACACAGTGGCTGCAACAATGGGCCCAAGCATAACAATGATTATGAGGATGGTGCAGGACTGGGCATTGTTTTGCTCTGTTGTAGGTAGGGTCGCTATGAGTCGGAACCGACTTGATGGCACCTAACAACAACTGTTATGACCCATTTCCACTCTTGACTCTCAAGTCACTGAACTGAGACATGCTGGAATTTCTGCAGCCACCACTCATTTACAGATTATCAGTGGGGATAGATTTATTTTCTAGGTGACCAATTCCATAATTAAACCAAAACAAAAAAACAAAAAACTTATTGCCATCGAGCTAGTTCCAACCCATAGTGACCCTATAGGACAGAGTAGAACTGTCCCACAGTGTTTCCAAGGCTGCAGTCTTTATGGAAGCTGACTGCCACATCTTTTTCCCTCGGAGTGGCTGGTGGGTTTGAACTACTGACCTTTCAGTTAGCAGCTGAGTGCTTAACCACTGTGCCACCAGGGCTCCTTGATCCCTTCATTACATGTTGATTTTCCTTAGTTTCATTCTCAGAAGTAACTTTAGCCTCTAGTTTAGGGGGTTACTATGTTGTAGCCCTCCCACAGTCACATCCTCTGCCCCATTTCTGGAACCCCTGTCTCCAGAACACCTCACACAAACTGCAGTGCTTAGAACACATGAACAGCCCCCTCCTGCCCCTACCCCATTTAGCAGGTCACGTGGGAGCTCAGCCCCAGAAAGCCTTAGGCTGCTTCCTAGCAGAGGCTCTCTCTGTCTTCCAGAGCTATAGCCCTGACAAATCCCCCTCAAGGGCCCACAGGCATCACTCACTCTCAGGGGCTCTGTCATGGGGACAGAGAAATTGGGTGACTTGTCCGTGGACACAGAGTTCTGGGAACCCACAGGAAGACAGTAGCTCTCCCTTCTCTCGCCTGGCCTGGTGCCCATGCAGTGATGGGGAAAGAATGCCTTCCCAAGAACTCAGATCTGCAAGGGAGTTCCTTGGGGCGAAGAGTTAGCAAGGCAAGAAGAGTGAGCTTTAGTTCTCAGAAATCACTGATTTCTGGCCAAGCCCCACCTAAGGCCCTCGCAGCTGCTTATGAGGCCAGAAGCAGACAGCAGTCTCCTCCCTCCCCCAGGGCTCCACCAGGCAGCAGGTCACAATGCCCCAGCTTCCCAGTCTCAGAATGGCTGGCCCAAGTGGGAGCAGGTGAGGAGGGTTCAGTGGGTGGGTGGGGGGAGGCGGAGGTTCATGCCGAATTTAAGCCCAATTCCCCACTCTCGGAGCTCATCTTTGAGTGTCTGCTAGGGCCACATCCCTGCCCACACCCCCACCCCTGATACTCCCTCCCAGCACTAGCCCTTCCTGTCACCTTCACATCCCTCCATGACTTGGCTCTGTTGATCCAGGCCCCAAGCCCTGGCAGGTCTGATCTCAGTCCTTCCCAGGGGCCTGGATGCTGGAAAGGGGTCAGGCAGTCCAGTGGGTCCAAGTGTACTCATCTGGGGCCCTAGCCTGGCCCAGCTCCTGGACAGTGCCCTAGGGCTGGTGGCCCTGGGGCTGGCAGTTCGAGCAGTCCTTTTCATGGCTGGACCAGCGCTGCTGCTGCTGCTGCTACTGGTCAATTTCCTTGCCTTTGACCTGCTCCATGGGTAAGTGGGCAGGCGGCCTGGCAGGTGGGCAGGCACGTAGGCAGGTGGACAAGCGGTCAACCTCCCTGAGCCCACTGCCTCCCTCTCTCTTTACAGGCCCACAGCTCCCACCCTGCTGCAGCACTGGCTTCTTGCAGGGGGCCAGAGTCAGGGGGCCGGTGAAGGTCCAGGAGAGCAGGGGACTCTACTTCTGACACCAGTGACAGTCACAAGACAAGTCAGCCTCCAGGATGCACTTCTTTTGCTGCTCTTGGGCCTGGGTCTGCTCCTGGGGGCCCGTGGCATGCCCCTGGCCCTGCTTGGCCTGGCTTTCTGCCTTCATCCTTGGGTCTGAGTGCCCTCCCAAAACAATGGGTGCCCTCCCAAAATACACTGGTTATCCTGCTTCCTTGGGCCTCCTTGCCTCCATTCTGGGCTGGGCATAAGGGAGGTACCCCTTATCCTGAGCCTGAACCTCCAGGAACCCCTGGCCCCACAACGTGGGCAGTGGACACCTGGGTCTGATCTGGGGGCCCAGCTGGGGAGGACGGGTGAGGGATACTATGATGAGAGACAGGGAGCCCGGGGCAGGAGGTGGCAGTGATCTCAGAACGTGCAGGTTGGAGGTAGCCGTTCTGGCCTCCTCTGTGGTTCCAGAGAATGAGAGTCTAGAGAGAAAGGCCTGCAAGAGAGTGGGGGTGGGGCTGAATATCAGGCAGCAGGGAAGGGACAGGGACCCAGGAAGGGCTTCCCTGCAAGAAAGCATTAGACACTGCATCCGAGGGATCATCTGGCTCCCCTGCCAGCCTGGAGGGTCCACAGTGGCTCCTCTCTTGGCTGGACCCCACCCTGGCCCGGGTCACAATAGGGCTCCTCTGGGTAGGGTGGGGGTGGGCGAGAGTGGGGCCTCGGATCTAGCTACCAGGCCGTCCTGGGCACTGCAGGAGGCAACATGACTTAGGTGGCTCTGCCCAGAGGTGAGTCCCAGGCCCCAGCTTGCAGACCCATCCCAACCACACTGGTGCCCTCCTGACCCCTGTACCCCCACCTACCCTGCAGTCCCAGGCCTCTGCAGGGCTGCTCCTGCAACTGGCCCGGCCCTCTCCCCAGGTGCACCAGCCATGATGCAGCAGCCGAGAGTGGACACAGATACCATCGGGGCCGGCGAGGGGCTGCAACCTGTGACGCCCTGGTCGGCCTGGGTCTCTCGGCAGGGTTGGGTGCGCTGGTGGGCATGCCGTGTGCCTCGGAGCTGGGCCCGATGGTGGACCACATCCAGCTGGCGACAACCACTGCAGCGTGTGCTGTGGTGTCTTGAGGGCATGCTTTACCTGCTGCTGGCACTGATGCTGTGCCATGCACTCTTCACCACTGGCTCCCACCTGCTGAGCAGCTTGTGGCCCGTCGTGGCTGCAGCGTGGCGCCACCTGTTGCCTGCCATCCTGCTGCTGGTGCTCAGTGCCCTCCCCGCCATGCTCTTCACCGCCTCCTTCCTGCTGCTTTTCTCCACACTGCTGAGCCTCGTGGGCCTCCTCGCCTCCATGTCTCACCCTGGCCGGACTCAGGACTTGGACCAATAGAAGGCAACCCCATCCCGCTGCCTCTGTCTGTTGAGCCCAGGCCTAGGGCCTGAGGCCCAGGGAGAGGGAGGGCTGTGGGACAAGGAACTTCCAGCCTCAGCAGGCCCCAGCATCCTAGCCGCTAGCTTGGGCCAGGGCTTGTGTAGTGTTTCTGGAGCTGACAGGATAGACTGGCCTTATCTCTGGGCACTTCCCTCAAGTTGATGCTGCAGGTATCTGGTGCAGGGGGACAGGGGCTTTGAGAGGAGGGCACAGGGCAGAAGGTTTAACCAGGAGCAGAGCTTGACCACGCCACTGAGGTCTCTCATGTGGATGTGGCGACACTACTGGGGTCCCCCTTGGCAACTGGCAGCATTTTCTTCTTGCAGCTGCTCAGCTGTCTCAGCCTCAGACCTCACTGAGAACTTCTACCTGGCTATGTTTGGACTCTCCATTTCTCCCACCAACCCTTCTTCCCACTTTCAGGGGTCCCACAGATCAGGAGAGAGCCTCGTTGACAGAAGTCTAGTGGGAAAGGACTGGGCAGAAGCCCCTATGAGACCTCAACTCACCTTCTAGACCTTTCCACCCAGGCATTCCCTGTTTCCTAGACTTCCTTATCTACTGTTTCAGTCTACATCTCCAGGTCTGGAAAATGGGCCAACCAGGGTAGTGAGGTTCCCAGACAGTAGGTACTCACTTGTTAAGACTCCCAAGGTCTGCTGTGGAAAAACAAATAAGTCCCTTTTCACCCATCTACACAATGTGTGACCTTGGCCAATTAATTTCTTTGAGCCTCAGTGTTAAAAGTGTCCCAACCCTATCATAGGGTTGTTGTGAGACAAAGGCAATGCCTATTTGTGAAGTGTTTTGTAAAGTCCAGAAAACTGTAAGATATTGTTTTGAACGCTAAGAACATTCTGTAGCCTTCAAGGGCCCTGAAGGCCCTTGAAAAAGCAGGCAGCTTCCCTAGGCCTTCAGAGACATGCTCTGTCATAGATAGAATTTTGGATCTAAGATGGTAAATGGATGGGTGTGGACAAGATGTAAAAGGCCACGTGCCATGAAATCTCAAAGTGTGCAGATGTGAAACTCTTCTGATGGTGAAACGCTTGGGGCTGGGGCTTGGTGCCAGGAGATGCTTATACAGCTGTGTGAGTAGGGAAAGTTCCCAAAACTGATTCAGCAAGCTTCCAAGCCAAGAGGGCCTTGGAAGGTGCCATTCCTTGATGCCCTGGATGCTGGCCATTCACGCATTTCCTAACCTCTCCAAACAAAACATTGAGTGATTAGTTATTACCAAGTAAGTTGTATGAAAGACATTACCCACAGCTGAGACCCACCCACCTGACCCCATCCCACTCCTGACTCCCACCCAATCTTTGACCCTTAAACGATCCCCAACATTTATCCTCCTCCAATCCATTCTCCTCCTCAACCCCAGCCCAGTTCTGACCCTCACCTTATATCTAACCCTAAAATCCCTGTTCCTGAAGCCCTAAACCCAAAGTCCTCCTTTCCTGCTCCCTAAATACTTGGGCCTTGTGGAATAGTCCCTAGAACCCTGATAAATACCTGGTTTCATCTTTGCCAAAACCCATTTGCTGTGGAAATTTGTAACTCTGCATACCCCTGGTTAGATGCTAACCAGTGGCACAGCCTTTCCTTCCCATTTCCTTGTAGTTCTCTCTGAAACATGGCCAGGTAGTGAGGGCAAGGAGCCCTGGTGGGTCAGTGGTTAAGAGCTTGGCTGCTAACCAAAAGGTCGGCAGTTCGAATCCATCAGCTGTTCCTTGGAAACCCTATAGGGCAGCTCTACTCTGTCGTATAGGGTTGCTATGAGTTGGAATTGACTCGATGGCAACAGGTTTTAGTTTTCTTCAGCGAGGGCAGGGCAGGAGGACATGGAGGTGGTATAGCTTCGTGGTTAGCATGGGCTTTGGCGTACTAGTGGAGGCTGGGCTCGAATCCCAGCACAGTCACTTTCTAGCTCCATGGCCTTGGTGGAAACTGCTAAACATCCTCATGGATAAAACGGTTTCCTCATGGGTAAAACTGAGGTAAGAACATCTGTCTTAGGGCTCCTGTGGGTGGGGCTCCTAGCACATGGGTAAAGTACCTAGCCTGGCTCCTAGCACCACAAATTGTTAAGTATGCCATTACTATCCCATTTTACAGATGAGAAGTCAGGCTCAGGCTAGCCACTTGCAAGTGGCAAAGCCAGACCATTTGAGTCCTAGTCCACTCTAACAGGCTACTAAAGAGAAAATCATACGGGATGGAAGAAATAACAACCTTACTAAAGACTCCATGGCCCCTCAATGCCTGTTCTCAAGAGCTCTCGTCAGGGATAAAGCATAGGGCTGGCAAGGCCATGAGTAAAACCAGTCTAGATGTCTGGTGGGTTGAAGCTCCAGGTCCTTTGTGGTCAGGGTGGAGATCAGGAGGCCTTGGGGCCATTTCGATTAGGGAGAAAGCAGGCTTTGGCCCAGGCCAGACACATTTGGGAGCAGGATGCAGGAAAGAGCAGGAAGGCACTTTTCCCTTCTCTCTATAAATACATACCTTCTATCCTCCTGCCCAGCTGGTATTGGGTAAGGTGGTGCAGCCAGACTTACTGGAGAACAGATAGATGATACTTATCAAATTAAATCCACACATATCCTGTGACCCAGCAACCCAAAATGAATGCCTGCAGAGGTCCATAAGGGTCTTGCTCCTCAAAGTGTGATCCCAGGACCAGTAGCATAGGCATCACCTGGGAGCTAGTTAGAAAGGCAGAGTCTCAGGTCCCATCCCAGACCTGCTGAATCAGAACTTGCATTTTAACAAGATTCCCAGGTGATACACGTGCACACCAAAACTTGAGAAGCACTGCATAAGAGGAGATGTTTGAGAATGGTTATTGCATTGTTGCTGGTGGTGGTGGGGAGACAGAAAGGGTAAAACATGGTGGGTAAGCACCATGGAGAGAAGGCAACAGAAGAGGTGAAAGCTACACAGATCTTAAAATACTAGTGCTGGGTGAAAAGAAACAGAAGGAGACATACGATCCCTTTTACACACATTTAAAATGCATGCCAGCAAAACAAGACAGTTTTTTTGTTTTATTTTGTTTGCATAAACACATAAAAGCAAGAGATAAAATGGAAATGGCCAACCTGAGGAACAGGCAAATGGGCGTAGGGTATAGAGATAAAAGCAATAAAATAAGGGACCTTGCAGAGAGCAAAAATATCAAACACAGTTCCTGAAATTCCTGTAAATGTAGACAAAGTCATCCATTTAGAGTTAAAGGCTTAAAAATGCAACCCTGGGATGGATAATGGACATGCTGGTATGAAGGAGGTTCTAAAGCCTTTTCAGTTTGGAGTGAGGGAGAGTTGCCCCCATTGGCCTGTGAGGCCTGGGCAGCTGGGTCCTCTGGGGGTCCTGCCTCGCCCCACTCCGCAGCCTGCCCTGATGGGGGTGTGGTGAGGGCAGGCATCCAGCAACGTGTGTGGCCTGGCCAGAGAAATAGGTCAGGCGGGGCATAAATAACCGGGGCTAAACAGGGTGTCAAAAGCCCTGGTGGCGCAGTGGTTTAGAACTCCGCTGCTAATCAAAAGGTCGGCAGTTGGAATACACCAGCTGCTCCTTGGAAACCCTATGAGGCAGCTCTACTCTGTCCTACATGGTCACTGTGAGTTGGAATCGACTCGACAGCAGTGGGGTTTTTTGTTGTTGTTGTTGTTTAGGTGGGGTGTCAGTCTTGAGGGGCCTTGCATCTAAGACAGCAAAGATGAGGGGCTGGTTAGCAAGGGGATCTTTAACTGTGCACACATATTTGGATGGGCACCTAGAAGAGGAAGTTCCTGGTAGAACTCCCTCTCTCAACCCCAAGGAACAGAGGAAAATAAGGAGCATCGAAGAGGCAGGAGGCCTCACGGGGAGGTATGGAGGCTGGAGGGAGTGCTCAGTGGCCACCCGGGAGGAAGGAGAGAGGTAACCAAGAGGGGAGCTTCTAACGGCCAGCAGTGGAAGCGGGCTCATGCGTGCACGGGAAAGTTGGAGGCTATGCTGGGGCTGAGCGAGGCCTAGGGGTGGGGGAGCTCACCGGACGGAGCAGTCAGCAGCCACAGGGGAGAAGGGAAGAGAGAGGGCCTTGGCAGGGTATGCAGGAGGCGGGATGCGCGGCGCCGGGAGCACGCCCAAGGACATGCTGCAGGGCACGGGGCGGGGTGCCCTGAGGCCTCAAGTCTCCCAGCCACAGATGTGCCGGGGAGGGAAGGCCCAGCGTCGAGGGGACACAGTGAGGCGGAGGAGCGCCTCATCAGACGGAGTGGGCAGCACTTACGCTGGGGTCAAGGGAAGGTCACCGGTGGGGAGATCCTGCGCAGCGCGGCGGCGCGCGCCTGATACTGCCTGCGGGGTGCGGGTCACTGAAGACGCTCTTTCCCAGGCTCAGGTGTGCAGGAGAGGGTCAAGGGCGGCTGCACGTTGACCACAGGGGCAATGGGGAGGGGTCAAAGGACTGAGCCTGGGAAGGCAATTCCAGGCCCTGCCGGGGCTGGAAGGGCTGTGGGCACCCTCATCCGGAAGGGGCTCGCCAGCACGGAGCATGAAAGCCCTGGAATCGAAGCACACCGACCCCGGCGACCGACGCTGCAAGGCCCGCCCCTTGGCGGCGATCTCAGGCTCTAGCAACAGAACCGGCTTTGGCGGGGAGACGGTCATGGGGGCAGTATCCACAGGCCTGGACGCCAGCCCTCTCGGCGAGGGCAGATCCTGTAGCCAAGGAGGGGTACTTCGGACCCACAGTGGCAGCTTCCTTGACTCCTCGCTCCTTACCCCAAATCTCTGGCCTGGATCCCCCAACCTTGTGTACTCAGTCCCTCTCCATACCAGAGACCCAGAGGCCTTGGGGGCAGAACTCAAGAGAATCGTGGAAAAGAAAGGAAGGGGCCTATGCAGCCAGCTTCTGGTCAGCTTCTGTGTCTGCGGCTCCTGGCCTAGCCCCAGCTTGATATTACTCCATTACTCCAGGGGGCGGGGTGGGGAGGAGCTGTCTTTGTGAGGTATGTCAGGGTCTGGACCCACTCAACTTTGGACAAGTTATTTTTTACTGTTGACCGAACATCTCCATCTATATTCTGCAACTAACCCTTGCTTCCTTTATACGGATCCCTAACCTTTCAAATGTTTTTCAAGTTAAAAAAATAAAAGGACTTGATCTAACATCTGTGGCTTCTACCATATTTTCTCGCCTTTGTTTAAATGTCTAACCAAAAAATATCCATTTTTAAAATTGAGATGTGGTATCGTATACTTGAAAAATATTTGTAACATATATGAGATTTACGAAGGTCTAAACAGAAGGAAACCACATAAATCTGAAAACTAAACTTTATCAGGATAGGTTCTCTTCCTGTGTGTTCTTCATCTTACCGTGCAAGGTGGGATTCCCACACAATGGCATGTGGAATTGCTGTTCATAGGCACCATTGGCTTTGTTGCTAATTTCAAAGGAACTGCTTCTAATGTTCCACCATTAAGAATTATGCTTACTGTAGACTTTTGGTAGATAACCTTTATCCAGTTAGGGAAATTTCCTTCTGTTCCTAGTTTGATAACTGATAAAATTGTTTTTTCTGCATCTGTTGTGAGGATTGGAGCCCTGGTAGCGCAGTGGTTAAGAGCTCAGCTGCTAACCAAGAGGTCGGCAGTTCGAATCCACCAGCCACTCCTTGAAAACCCTATGGGATGGTTCTACTCTGTTCTATAGGGTCGCTATGAATTGGAATCGACTCGATGGCACTGGGTTAGGTTAGGTTATAGTGAGGATTATTTGGTTGTTCTGCTTTATTCTGTTTATAGAGTGAATTACGTTTTTATGTTTCCTCTTACTGTTAAACCACTCCTGGATTCCTGGAAAAAATCCATTCTGGTTTCCTCTTAATTGAGATATAATTCACATACACATTTTATATCCAAGTAAAATGCACTAATCTTGAGTGTACAGTTCAATGAATTTTTACATATGTATTTGTATGTACTTCTACATATATATATATATATAACCACCACCCAGATCAAGATATAAAACTTTTCCATCATCCCAGAAAGTTCTGTTATGTTCCTTCTCCCACTATTCCGACTTCCATCACTATAGGTTAGTTTTGCCTATTCTTGAAATCATACAAAATGTACTCGTGTCTGGTTTCTTTCAATGTTATGTCTGTGAAAATTATCCATGTTACTGCACTTAATAGCTTCTTCCTTATTAGTGTGTAGTATTTCATTGCATGAATAGACCATAATTTATCCATTCTTCTGCTGATGGTCATTTGAGCTGTTTTGAGGTTTTAGCTATTGTGGATATAGCTTCTATAAATATTCTTGATCAAGTCTTTTGGTGGACAGATACATTCATTTCTCTTGGAGTGGAATTGTTGGGTTACAACCAACCAAAAACCAAACCCATTGCCATCGAGTTGATTCTGACTCATAGTGACCCTATAGGATAGAGCAGAACTTCCCCATAGGGTTTTCAAGGCTGTAATCTTTCGGAGGCAGACTACCACAGCTTTCTCTCAAGGAGCGGCTAGTGAGTTTAAACTGCTGACCTTTTGGTTAGCAGTCAAGCACCGTGGTTAAGCTAACTGATAAAATTGTATTATGATAGAATGAAGAAGGTAAATTTTTCAAATTTAAAAAGAGAAACTACTTCAGCAAATTTTTAAAGGATGTAAGAACGTTTTAAGAATAAAAGGTGTTGGGATACTACAGTAAAGGTTACGAAACCTCACTGTGGGTGATGGGAGTCATATAACACGATGCAATAGAAATTAGAAACACAGAGGTAAAATAATGGAGATACTGCGGGACAGCACATTGAACAGTCTCAAGACTGCTTACAAACGGAGAGTTCCAGAAATAAAATAGGGTTTGAGGGGAGTAGAAAAGCCCAGGAAAGGCTTGGAGGGGAAGGCCACAGGGAATTCTTAGGGAACTGATGGCAAGCAACAGAGAGAACCAGTAAGCCTTGGTAACTCATATTATTTTTCTTGGTAAATCAGTCCAAGGGTACAATTTTCTCCAGCAACACTGAAAAGCTCCCAAATTAGAGATGCAAAAGTGCCCAGACAAAAAGATTTTGAGAAAGAAAAGCAGAAAAGGAGTGGACAGGGGATGGGGCAAACTGAATGGATGCAGCTGAAGAAAGGTGCTCAAAGGATAGGTTTTTCTTAATGAAAAGAAAAAAAAGAAAAAAAAAACCAGTCTAAAATCTTAGCTCCCTAACAAAAAGCTTCCTTTCATTTTCGCATATTCTCTTCTACTTTTTGTCTGTACCAGAGTTAGGCTTGTTCCTGGCACCTACTGGTGCCTTCATACATGGTATCACTTAATTTTCAACTGCCCTGTCAAGATTGCTCTCTAAACTCAAACCGTACCAGTTTCTGCAGCACCAAAACCAAAAAAACAAACCCATTGCTGTGGAGTCAATCCCAACTCAGTGACCCTATAGGACAGAGTAAAAACTGTTCCATAGTTTTCCAAGGCTGTAATCTTTATGGAAGCAGACTGCCACATATTTTCTTGCAGCGTGGCTGGTGGGTTTCAACCTCCGACCTTTCAGTTAGCACCCCAGTGCTTAACCACTGCACCTCTAAGCTCCTTTCCCCAGCACCAGCGTGTGTTAACAGCTTCTGTTATGGACTGAATTACGTCCCCTCAAAATGTGTTATAAATCCTAACCTCTATGCCTGTGGTTATAATCCTGTTTGGGAATTGGTTGTCTTTGTTATGTTAGTAAAGTAGGGTTAGTTTATGGTGTATCTTGAGTCAATTGAGATATATTAGGACAAACAAGCAAGCAGAGACGGGGAAGACATGTCAAGCCACCTGAAGATTGCCTAGGAGCAGAAGCTCAGAGACATGGACTTCCTCCAGAGCCGACAGAGAGAGAGAGCTGGCACCCTGAATTTGGACTTTTAGCCTCCTAAACTGAGAAAATAAATTTGTTAAAGCCTTCCACTTGCGGCATTTCTGTTATAGCAGCACTAGATAACTAAGACAGCTTCCTTTCATTTGCATTTTGTAGATCACTAACAAGGATCAACACTTTTCCAGTCTGCTATTTTTAACTCCTTTTGTGTGAGGTTATCTGTCTCTTGCCAAGGTAAATAAATTCTCAATCGTAAGTATGAAAAGTTAATGCAAAACATTTGCATCCCTTTCTTCCTCTTCTCCTTCAAAATTCTAATTGGTCTCTGTTACCTTATTCCCTGCCCACTCCGACCCCACTGCTGATGCTCTTTGTAGGGTCTCAAACCTAGGGTCAGGACCACTTGTCAAATCCCAAACTGCTTACCCATCTTGCCTTCCCTAACTTCCTTAGGGAATTTGGCACCAAATCTCCCCTCAATGGAGCTCTTCTCCCTTAGCTCCTCTACTGCCTCCCCCCAAAATTTGGTCTCTTTGCTCCCATTGCACATGATACCTATTAAATAATGAGTTTCTGAATCTTTCACTTGGCTTGGGAGCTTATTTAGTTCCAACCACTTATTAAGTGTCTACTATGTGCCAAGAATTGTACAAGACAAGGTGTCTATGTCCAGGTGTAGGTGAACACTGAATGTAGAAATGAATGCGTGAGATTGGAAGATGTAAGTAAGGATATCTAGCCTGATCCAAAATTCCATATAAAATGCTGACAATTTCAATTCAGCCTTTGATTTTTCCCAACTCCAAAGAACTGCTGACAACAGGGGATCCCTCCAATATCTTTGTTAAGCACATATATGTTCTGGTGAGTGTGGAAATGGGCGTGTAAGACAGCAGGAAGGACACATTCAATGGTTTTAAATAGTGAGGGGCCAAAGCCCCAGGCCTGGGGAGAGCCCAGAAGAAGCCTCCCACCTCTAAGATTGTGGTGTGGGAGATCCATTCCCTTACACAGGAAGATGTCATTCCATTCTTCCATGCCTTTATTGGTGACAGCAACGAACAAGAACAACACTTGGCATAGCAGACACCCTGGCCCAGCACCTGGGGTGGCAGGCAGGCCCTGCAAGGCCGCTGACAAATCCAGCCCAAATTCCAGTCTACCCAAGCCATGTCCCTGAATCGGCAGGAGGCCGTCCGTCCAGTTTGTATGTGTGGATCAGTCTGTCTGAGTGTCTGAGCCGCTGCCTGCAAGGCCCCCCCATCCTTGGCACAGGGTAGGGGCCATTGGGAATACAGCGTGGCATCCCCCGGTGTACCACCGGACCCCGGTGCTGACCATGGGGGACAGGGACAGGGATTGGAGGTGGCAGAGGACCAGGCACAAAGTTCACTCCAGGGCCACATCCTACAAAAGAACCAGTTATCAGAGCAGGCTTCCAGCCAGTTTCCCTGGGCTTCAGTTCCCCATCTATACAATGAGGACACCACTTCCCCTATTCCAAACCAAGATACTGTGAGGATCAATGAGCTGATTAATGAATCTACAGATACTGTTCCAGACCCAGAAGACTGCTGTGACCAAGCCCAATCCTGGAGGCACAAGGGACTACACATCTCTCAGCCTACCTGGACACAGGAGACTGGGCTCGGGGGAAGTATAAGGGGAAACTAGGAGAGGCGTGAGGAGAGGCTTCAGAAGTACCTACCTAAGTGGGGTGGCATCGAAAAGTCCTCCACTGGATTATAATTGAAGAATTCATGGGGTGGGAAGGGCTGGCCTGGGAAAAAAGGGGCATCCTGGGGCAGTGGTGGGAACAAGGGAGGCGGCGAAGGCTGAGGAAGAGGGTAGGGAAAGGGCATGGGAGGGGGCAAAGGAGAGGGCAGGGGTGGGCGCAGCTGCTCCCTGAAGTCTGGGGGCTGCCTGTGGATTCCCTGGAACGGATGATCCATCTCTGGCCAGTCCTCAATCCATGGTTCTAGGAACAGGATGGTTGTTTCAGGTAGGCCTGGGAAGCCAGGCTGCCCTGAACTCTGGCCATCATACTGCCAAACCTCTTGGAGAACAGAGCCACTGCGTGGCAGCATCCTCTCCTTTCTGTTTTCTTTTTCTCCTCTCATTTCAGGCCAAGCCCAAGGTGTGTTCCTCCTTTCTTGCCTCTCTGAAAGATCAGTGGATCTACCTTTGTTCTGACCTCATGCTTCCCTTCACAGCCTGCTCCCTGCTTTCCCATCTCATGTATCTTTAGCTTTAGTCCTTTCCCAGCTTCTCCCCACAGGTCAATACATAAGCTTAATGCCTGTCTCTTAAAAATTAAAAGATCCTGTCACTCCATCTCCCACTAGTCAGTATCGCCTTTTCCTTCTAAACTTCCACAAAGTACATTTTGCCCAGCTTCCATTCCCTCACTGCCTCTTTTAACCCTTCTCCACTCCCTCAACACTTCCTACTAAATTACCCACTACTAACAAGTTTAATAAATTTCTTTCCTGCCAACAGTCACGTGGTATGGTCAATAGTCTCCACCCTCTCTTAAAATGCCTCCGCTATTATCTCCTTTTGTCTTCTGTGTTGGCCCCTCTTCCCTTCCAATTCCCAGTTGTGACCAATGTTCTGCTCTCTCCTTCACAGCTCACAATGGAGCCTTCAGCTTCAATCGCTCTGCACAATACTGTGGACTCCAAATCTGTCTCCAACTCCGTATTTCCACAGCACCTGAGACAGACCTGTACTAACCAAACTCACCAACTCATCCTCCCACCTGAAATGAACTCTTCCTGCTGACATCCCTATTTCTGCAGCTCAAAGCTTCAGTTCAAAACTGGATTTAGAAGACCTGAATCATCACAAACTAGCCTTATAACCTTCAGAGCACCCCTTTCCTTTGCCAGGGATCAGTTCTCTCATCTAAAAAACAAGAATATTGAACGATTATATAATCAAAGTCCTAATCCACCTCTCCAATGCTCCTACTCCTGGCCACCAAATCCTAGAGTGTGTACCTCTGTGATGCTCCTGGCCTCTGTGGCCCTCACACCCTCTGCTTATCCTGTAGGTACTATGTACAGAGAAACTATGCTAGGCATGGGGGTGAGGGGATCAACAACTAAAACAGGAACCTTGTCCTTTAGACCTTATCCAGGGGAGAAGCAGACATGGAAACAATCAGTCACGATGTGCCTTTTGTGAGCACGCAGGGACTAAGGCTGGCAAGGAAACAGGTTTTCTACAGCAGATAGCATTATAACTGAGATGTAATGGGCAGCTACGCCCCAAAACGAGGAGGCGGTGTGAGATGGGGTGGGGCCCAGCATTCCAGACTCAGAAGCCTCAACCAACGACCCAGAGATGGGGCCAGAGAACAGTTGCACCAAGCTGCAATCAGCTATACTGGGACCCTGAAGCTGAGCTGGGGAGTCTCTGGAATGTTGTCCATTCAGCTCGCCCCCATCAGACTGATAGTCTCAAAGCACCCATAGCATAGGTCATGTTACTTCTCTGCTCAACAGCCTTCCAGCTGACTACCCCCCTCCCCATACACTGCCTCCCTCCCCCACAGCTGAGGGGTTTCCTTGCTTCTGCCACACATTACCTCAATTACCTGCATTCACTTCTGTGTTGCCACCCCAACACCCGTGCCTAGCCAGAAGTGCTCCTCTTTCTTTCCTGCTCATCCATAAAGCAGAGGTCCTTTGACACACTGGCCCATGTGATCAACTCTTGTACGCGCTCATTCACATACACAGAAGCAACTACATGGCAGATCATAGAGAATGGAACTCAGACTGGATCTAACCTTCCCCAGGAGTTGAGAAAAGAGCACTCAGTGGCTGCAACACTCCTTCCAGGGGCCCCTACTCCCCATGAGAGTAACTCAGGATCTCTGTTCTGTTCCAGTTTTGAGTCCTGCACTCTTGGGGCCCTCTCTGCAGCACTACCCTCCCCCTTTGTGGCAAGGCTCACCAGAGGGACGGTCCCGCTTGGGTAGCTCCACACCCCAGGCATCAGCCACGTGGGTCAGAAGCAGGTGTGAGAGGTGGCGGTGGGCATGCTGGTCCCAGTGGACACCATCCCGGTGACGGTGCCGTACTGCATGCCGGAAATGAAAGTGGAGGTCCAGGACGTCGAAGCAGTGGTCCCCGGCCAGTGTGGCACTGTAGAAGTTCCCTTCAACTACATCCCGCCGCAGAGAGCCTGCCAAGGGCTGGAGCTGAGTGAGGAAGTGTGGCGTCTAAGAGCAGAATGAAGCAGCGTCGGGAGGGAGGGTCCCCTACCTATCAGCCAGCTGCCCCCTCCCAAGGCCCTGGTCACTTGCCTCCGGCAGGAGGAAGCCCCCAGTGACACGCTCCCCCAGAGGCATCGCCATGTTCCACACCAGCAGGCAGGAGTCTGGCAACACCTGGTCCATGCGCACGAACACCCGCTCCAGGTTCTCCCGGTAGCTCTCCATGGAGCAGCGGCCGTACCTGTGGGGCAGCACGTAGGATGGGCAAAAGCACAGGGGTGGGCAGCCTTGAAGCCACACCTCCACTTTCCCACCCTCCCCAGGTATCTCCCACCTCTTCTGTCCCCCAACCTGGAGAGATCCCAGAGGCAGGAGTTGATGATCACCAGGTCCGGGGTAGGCCCATATGCCAGCTCCTCCAGGACGTCCTCCAGGTACTCAGAGTAAACACGGGTGAGGAAGTAGAAGCGCACAAGATGGTGGCCAGAACCCGAGCAGAACTGGCGGACCTCGCGGTACTGTGTTCCATTGTGCAGCTCACCCAGCTGGCCCCCAGCCACCAGCTGGTCCTGTTCAAAGCTGAGCTCCCCCTGCCCGCCCCCCAACCCAGCTGGTCAGACCCATGCCAGGGAGGAGGACCCTGCCAGGCTAGGGTCTGTGCCCTCCCACCACTGGCATGGCCACCAAGCTTCCCTCACCTTGGCTTTCAGCTGGGCTGCTGTGAGCAATGAGTCTTTCTGGAGCAGCAGCACCAGGTCCTTATACACAGCCCGCTGGACTGCAGGAAGACAGAGATCACAGACTGAGGCAGGCCCCAGTCTACTACAGCTCCTCCAAGTCCAGGCCTCCCATCCTCCCAGGACTGCGGCTACCTAATCCCAGCTCTGCGGAGTGTTTACATGCAGGTAGAAGAAAAGGTGAAATTAAAAAGTCGTGCACTGTCTCTGTTCTCTTCCAACTCTGCTTCACCTCACCCTCTATGTAGTATACGGTGACCCGAGATCACCTGGCAGAAGTCAGCCAAATCACCAGGGAGACAGACAACACAATCCACTGCTCCCACAAGGGAAGTGATGGGGCACCGACAGCTTGGGAGAGAAATGCAGAGCAAGAATGGGGTAAAAAGTGCACAGGCTACATTTGTCAGGACACCTGTGAACAGCGTACAGAGCCAGAAAAAGAATAAAAAGCCTACTAGACTGTGACAGGTTAGGGGATGAAGAAAAACTTTGAAATGAAAATGAAAAGGTCCAGACATAGACAGTGAACACGCCGCAGATGCATGGCTGGGAAGGGTGATCCTAGAGGGGCACTCACTGGAGTCCCCCAAGATGACGACGAACTTGTTGTGTAGCAGCTGCTGGACTTCCGAGGCCTGGAGATGGACCATGGCGCTTGGCAGCGGGCGGCGAGGCTCCTCGTTCTCCAGACAGAAGACCATGCCGCTGCCGACAACGACGGGCTGCAGGAAGAGGCCACTAAGCCGCGTAAGTGTTCGGGCTCAGGACAGGGTGGCCCCAGGGCCCGCTCTGGATAAAGAAGACCTGCACGGGCCCCTCCCGGGCTGCCCAGAGCTACAGAGGGGATGTGGTGGCGGCAGTGTGGGGCCCATGACGGTGCTGGCGTTGTCTACACTTGGCACGGAGACAAGGGGTCGCCAGGCGGCGCCTCCCCGAGACTGAGGCGCTTCCCGCGCGGCGCCGCCCTGCGCCCGGCCACGTGCCCGCCACCAGCTCGCGCATGCGCGCGCCCGAAGGCGCCAATTACCGAGTCCCGGGGCTCCGCACCAGTCACAGGCGACCGGGGCAGGCCGACGCGCTTCGCGCCTTGCCGGGCTCCTGACTAAGCCTCATGTCCCTGCGCCCCGGGAGGCCAGTCGGTTCTGCAAAGCCCCCGCCCCGCGGAGCCCGTGCGTCCCGATTAGCCGTCGGTGCGCAGCCTGTTGCCTAGCGCTCTCCATGCATGCGTCGCGGCGGCCCCGACGGCGCCTCGGGCTTCAGACCGCGGACCCCGAGCGGCAGCGCTCACAGCTCCCACTTCCGGTCACCCATGTCCCTCCCGGCGCGACCCCCAACGCCCGATGGGACGGGGCGATGACAGCAATGGCCGTCGCGTGGGGGAGGGGCCGAGGCCAGGCCCACCCGGGCGGGCTAGAGGCCCTGGATGCGGGCTGGGGGCGCGGCGGCGCCGAGCGCGGCTGCCCACAGTGTTAATGGCGGCTACGGCGACATCGACACGTGAATCGGTCGGGCGGAAGCGGAAGCGCCGGCTGAGGGCCTGCGCCAGGTGAGCGTCCCTTCGGCGCTGCCCAGCCATCTCCTGCACCAGTCATGGACTGCTACACGGCGAACTGGAACCCGCTCGGGGACTCTGCCTTTTACCGGTGAGCCGCCCCGTCCGCCCACAAGCCGGCTTACCCCTGTCGCCCGCCGGCTTGAGTCTCCGGGCGAAGCCGGCGGGGCGCGCCCCCGTCACTGCAGGCGCTGGGGGCCGCACCACGCCGGCTGTCCCCACGGCTGCTGGGATCCCGGCACTCGCAGAACGCAAAGACTCCTTAATGGGTTAGGAGCCGGACTTCCCTCAAGGAAAATGAGGCAAGCGCGATAGTCACACAAGTAGGGGCAGAGCCCAGTACTGAAGCCCAGGTCTTTCAGCCTCCGGAAGGATGCTCAGATCACGTTGAGGCTGGCCGCCCACGGGTGACAGCGAGTGCCCAGTCTCCTGCGGGAAGTGCTGTTGAATTCAGACCACAGGAGCTCTCCGAGGGGCGGGAGCGCACAGCGGGCGGGATGGCACTACTGACCAAGGTTGAGAAAAAGGAGCAAGTCGTGAGTGAATCCAGGCATAGCGTGAGTGAAGATCCTCGGCCAGGGGCAGCCCTTCCGTGAGTGTCTAAGAGTCTTAAACCATGGATTCTTTGAAAGTGTAGACCGATCTCATCGTTACCCTGATTAGGATTGTTTAATGGCTTCCCTTCTTTGTAGGATAAAGTACAGACTCCTTGTGGAACATCTATAAGTCGGCCCCTATTTGTCTCTCCAACCTCATCTGCCCCTCTCCTACCGACAGAATAGTTTGTGTTCCAGTTGCATGGAATTACAAGGCCCCAGTACGTCATGAGGAGCCCAAGTGGCACAGTGGTTAAGAGCTTGGGCTGTTAACCAAAAGGTTGGCAGTTCGAATCCCCCAGCCACTGCTTGGAAACCCTGTTGGGGCAATTTTACTCTGTTCTTTGAGGTTGCTATGAATCAGAATCGACTCCAGGGCATCAGCTTTTGGAACACATCATGTTTCATGGCTCCCTACGTTTGCACCAGCCTGCAGTTCCCTCTGCCATTTCCTTCTTTATCTTGCTGGAGAAGTCTTGCTCATCCTTCAGGATTTAGTTAAGGGACTGTTCCTGAGACCTTCCTTGATTCTCCCCAGTAGAGTCCACTGACTCCTTTGAGCCTCACAGGGCCCAGTGCTCTGGTGTGTTATGTATGGCACCAAAACCAAAAACCAAACCTGTTGTCAACTCATAACGACCCTATAGGACAGAGTACAACTGTGCCATAGGGTTTCCAAGGCTGTAATCTTTACTGGAGCAGACTGCTACATCTTTGTCCTGCAGAGTGACCTCTGGGTTCAAACCACCGACCTTTTTATTAGTAGCTGAGCGCTTAACCACTGCACCACCGGGACTCCTATGAATGGCACAGTAGGGCAATTTTTTGTATCACTATAGGTTTCTTTTCCTAAATCAAGCTCCTTGAGGGCTGTGACCAGTGCATATCTAGAACAGTGACTGCTATTTTCTCTCTTTCCACTGACTACTCCAGTCTCACCACACCATTCTCAGTGACGTCCACTGCTTGGCTTCCTGGAACGCTGGACAGAGATGAGTCCCCTTTTCCTAGAAATTGTATTTGACCTTTTATTATGAAAAATTTCAAATGTGCAGCATAGTACAGGAGAGTACAGGATAGTAAAGTGAATACCGTATAGCCATCATCTAAACCAAAAAAACCAAACCCTTTACCATCGAGTTGATTCTGACTCATTGTGACCCTATAGGACAGAGTAGAACTGCATTGTGGAAATCTCCAAAGAGTGCCTGGTAGATTTGAACTGCTGACCTTTTAACCACTGTGCTATCATTTAGGTGTGATAATTATGTTGCTATATTTGCTTTAACTGTTTTGGAAGTTTTAGGGAAAAAAATTATTTAAAAAAACAAATATATACAAATGTAGTGAAAGTAATATAGTGAATATCCGTATACCCACTACCTAGTTTCAACAGCCATCAGCATTTTGCCATTCTTTTTCTGTCTTTTCTCCCACTTCCAACACACATGCACAAGTGCATATACACACACACACAGATACACTTTTTTTGACTATTTTAAAACAAACCTAGACATAGTATCATTTTAATCATAAATACTTTTTCTGCTGTATTTTAAAGTCAATTACAGACATAACTTTAATGTGCATCACTTTAAAAAAAATGACAGTTTCCTCCAAAACTACAATGCCATTTCATAACAAAATTAGCATTTAGGGTTATCAAACAACTAGTCCACATTAAAATTTCTCCAGTTGTCTTCAGCATGTGTTTTTATAGCTGGTTTGTTCAAATCAAGACCCAAAGTTGTTTGCTTACCTCTCCTAGTTAAGTCTGTTGTAAACTGGAATATTAGTACTATCACCACCTACCTTTTGTTTTCATAACATTGACTTGAAGAGACCAAACCACTTTCTGGACTTTTCCCCTTGCTTCCTCGTGGTGCCTTTGCCTCTATTCTTTGTCTATTTTTCTGTATCATGGCTTGTATTTTTTTGAACTGGATATAAGATCTAAAGACTTGGTTAGATTCAGATTAAACGTATTTTGGCTGAGATGCTTTGTAGGTGATGTTGTGTTGTTCGTGCTTCATCACATCTGGAGGCATCATTATATCTAGTTGTCCCACTATTCGGAAAGCTGAGATTGACCAGTGGGTTCCACTGGTGGTGGCCACATCTCTCCCTTATAAAGTCATATTTTCCCACCTTGTGACAAGCAAGTAACCTGTGGAACACCATGTTGGGTATATCAGCCTGAGTCTAATTAGGAGAGAAAAACCACACAGTGATTTAAGCAGGGAAGTTTAATACAAAGAAGTACTAAGTGATGGCAAAAGAATAACTGTAAGATATAAGAAAACTCTATGTGGTACCCTACAGCTGAGGGAGAGTATCCAAGGAAGGACAAATTTGGAAGGGCAGTTCGCTTCCCAAGGCTGGGGTTCAGACCTTGTTGCAGAAGGTGTAGCGCAGAGAAGTTTGCTAGTTTACCTGAGTCAGAGTCACTGGGCAAGCAGTAAGCAGCCCTCCCAGGCACAGATGGAACACAGGTGAGCCATAGCTGGTGGCCAGGCATGTGAGCTTGCAGAGAGATTGGGGGCACCAGTGCAAGCAGGAACCCGGCAGCGTGCAGTATCCATGTCAGAAGGGCAGTGGCATTGAGAGGACTGTGGGAGATAAACCCCTGGCGGAGCATGAGGGAGAGACAGGCAAGCAAGAGGGAGTCAAGGTGCTAATACAGGCAGGAGGCCTGGAGCACGAAGTGTCCTTATGGAGGGAGCCTCAGAAAAATGTACGCCAATCCTGGGCAAGGCTGTGAGGTCCCCTTGGATGGCATGTTCTGGGTGTGTTGTTGGGGCAAAGCACTACCAGATGTCCTCATATCCATACTGCTGAATGGCAGACTGACAGTGCAGCTGCTGGAAGTAGCAGGAGAGCTCCTTCCTCCTGCAGTGTCACTCCAGTGCCTTCTACGGAGAACCTTTAATATTGTGCTTACTATAGAGCATTATGTTAGCTGCCGTCAGGTCAGCCCCTGACTCATGGTGACCCCACGCATGACAGAATGAACCTTGCCCCAGTCCTGTGCCACCTCCGTGATTGGTTGCGAATCCGACCCTTGTGATCCATAGGGTTTTCACTGACTTATTTTCAGAAGTAGATCGCCGGGCCTTTCTTCCTAATCCATTTAGTCTGGAAGCTCCACTGAAATGTATTCAGCATTAGAGCAACGTGCAAGCCTCCACTGACAGATGGGTGGTGGCTGCACGTGAGATGCTTTGGCCAGGAATCAAACCCTGGTCTTCCACACAGAAGGCAAGATTCTACCACTGAACCATCCATAAAACTAGTAGAGCATAGAATATAAAAGGGTGAATTTGGAGCTGAGAGGCAATAAATTGATAGCTGGTACAGTCCACCCTTTGGCTATTCAGTTTCCACATGCAGCCTTCTACATGCTTTTGAACTCCTTTACACCAACAAAACAACTCTTTTTTTTTTTAATTGTAGTTTAAATGAACGTTTATAGAGCAAACTAGCTTCTCATTGAACAATTAATATACATATTGTTTTGTGACATTGGTTGCTGACCCCATGACATGTCAACACTCTCCCCTTCTCGACCTTAGGTTCTCCATTAGCGGCTTTCCTGTCCCCTCCTACCTTCTTGTCCTTGCCCCTGGGGTGGTGTGTCTATTATGTCTTGTTTTGTTTTACGGGCCTGTCTAATCTTTGGCTGAAGGGTGAACCTCAGGAGTGACTTCCTTCCTGAGCTAAAAGGGTGTCCGGGGGCACCTTGGGGTTTCTTCAGTCTCTGTCAGACCAGTAATTCTGTTTTTTTTGTGTGTGAAAAAACTACTCTGTTTTTGCTTAACAAGATAAATGCTATCTGTCTTTTAAGTGAAGAACTATGCTTTCCCAAAATAAAAAGACATATAGTCTCAGCAATCATTGTATCCATCCACAGTCCCACTGAATATTCTGTTCAGTGATTCAAAATAGGTAATATTCTGTTACCTAATGACTAGATTGGAAATCCTGGTGGCATAGTAGTTAGAAGCTATGGCTGGTAACCAAAAGATCAGCAGTTTGAATCCACCAGGCGCTCCTTGGAAACTCTTTGGGGCAGTTCTACTCTGTCCTATAGGGTCGCTACGAGTCAGAATCGACTCAACGGCAATGGGTTTTATTTTTTGGTTTTAATGACTAAATTGTAAAGTTAATCTCGAGTAATTTCTGTATAAAATAAAAATAGGAAGGAGAGACAAGATAATGGTTAGTACACACAAATAAATGCATGCATATAACAAGCTTAGAGAAACTATGCAAGACTACTGTAGTTTTCATTTCTGTAGTTGGTCATGAGGTCACAGTTGATATCTTTGGCTTCCTTCTTCAACTGCCCATTCCATATTTCCCTTGCCCTC